TTTGCAAATGAACAATGACAAGGTAAGTAAATTTACGAGTTCCATTTTTATTGAAAAAGCAGCTGTCAACGATGTCAGAAAGTCTGGACTTTAATTTATCGTGGGGAATAGTTGTATATAAAGTTGAAAAGTCGTAAGTTTTTATGTTGTTTATTTTGGTAAAATTTTGTGATTTCAAATGTTCCAAAAGTTCCTTGGAATTTTTTAGTACCCACATCTGATTCACACTACTTCTCGAATATATTGTTGCACAGTACTTTTGAAGTTTCTCCTTCACTACTGTTGGTATCTTAGTGAGGAGTAAAGAAAGAGGCTTGGTAGAACATTTACTGGAACCCGCTATGTATCTTTGTTTGTAAGGACTTTTATGAAGTTTCGGAATCCAATATAGATATTGTAATTCAAATTCGTTTTGGTTGTTGGGAATATTAAAAATATTCAAAACTGACATATGATTTTGAAGAATTTCCTCCTTCGAAAGGGAGCTATGGGTATAAGTTGGATTACCACTCGTAGAATTAAATCCCAGTTCCTCTAAAATACAATTTAAATAATGAGCCTTACAAACAAAAACACTGTTGTTACCTGCTTTGTTAGCAGCGACCAGTACGTACTGAGCGTGTAATCTATATCTAATTCTTTTTTCACTTCTGAATTATTGAATACAGAAGGATAGATGGTTTTCATACTGCCCCTCAATCGTTTAATGCGAGATTTTAACATATGTCTGATACATTTAATCCAGTCTGACAAAGTGTCAACGTCTTCTTTTTCATGTCTGACCCAACGCCTGGCGTAATCCTCCACAGAATCCATAATATTGTCTTTTATTAATTTTCAATCTAAAGTTGAAAATGATTACATGACAAATTAAGTCACACCCTTTTGTTCTTCGTCTTGTTATCTTGATGATAAACAAAGACTTGGGCAGCTTCTCAACCCAATGGATGTATCCGTTTGTTGAGGCTATATAAATTAAAAGAAGGCAGGAATAAAGCAAACGTTTTATTCAATGATGAAAAGTGTTATAAAACAAAGCTATAAAGAGCGACTCAAGGCCTTACAAATTTACCAATGTAATTAAAAATGGTTGTATGTTCGTGCGCCCTAAAACTTGTTCGCCCTTGACGCCGTTCGCCCTAATTCCCGTTCGCCCAGAGTTCGAGCGCCCTAAAACTTGTTCGCCCAGGGTCCGTTCGCCTTATTTATATTGCAGAAAGTTGAATAATGACCCAATGGATTTTTTAAAATAAATTATATGTACTTTGGTACATAAATTGCGCACGGGAGACAACAGACGTATGCATGTGGTACCTGTACTATCAAAGACCCGGCAGACCAACAGAAAATTAACGTCTCAGTCCTTTAATTGTTTTCAAAACATAACGCAGATTGTATGATCCCCTAAATTACAGTGACATTATTAAGTATAATTAAATCAATTAAGCATGTAAAGAGCATAAATATCAAATTTGAATTATTTAATTAAGATTACGGTAAATAAAAAAAAATACCCGTAGCAACATTTGAAAAAAAAACACAAAGTCGTAAAATATTGAATAAAATTAATAATAAATGTTGATATTTACTATATACTGTATATATATATAATAGGGCGAACGAGATATAGGGCGAACGAGAATAAAGGCGAACGGACCCTGCGCGAACGGACTCATGCGAACAGGTAGACAGGGCGAACGAACCTGATACCATTAAAAATGTAATTCCAATCAAAGTTACTTAATTTAAACATGTTAAAGGTATTTTAATTTATAAAAAGAAATTAAACAACAAATCATAATTCAATACCTTGATTAAATCAAACCAAAAATAAAACATTGCTATAAAACAACCTAACATAACCTTTTTTTTTCTTTTTAATGTAAACAATGTAAACAATAACGTTGGGATCAGAGACTAGGCGATCGATTACGTAATACAAAGAAACTGAAAAACTTTGCAAATTATACTTTACCTGACATTACTTCAAAATGCAAAAACATGCATAATGCTTAAATGCTTTTGAGACTATAAATGCCATTATTATGTAATAGATCATTAATAACACATCGGCGATCATCTCGCATATTTCCTAACAATAATGAAAGTAAGTCTGTCCATTTTTAGCAATAATTTGCACCTCGATCCCGATCCCATTGAACATAAAAATTACAAATTTTACTGTGCAACATAAAAACTATTTCACTACATACCTTCACTCTGTAAACAAGTTTGCATAAAGTATGTATACAAAAGTAACTAACTACACTATAATTATTTCTAACTTAGACAAAGACCAAAGTGAACAATGACCGAAATTAAAAAACTAAGAATAAAACGTTTAAGTAAATCCTTTAACTAAATGCATCTTAAGCTCTAAAATTTATTAATTAGAATAATTTTAAAAGTTTAACCACAATAATTAATTACCTATGAAAAATAAAAATAAAACTATAGTTACCTATATAAATTAAAAGAAGGCAGGAATAAAGCAAACGTCCGGCTGGTTTTATTCAATGATGAAAAGTGACCAGCCGGGACGCGCAACCTGCTTAAATCAAATTTCTAAGATATTCTTTTTAACCAATCAAAAATGATTCTGGAGACAATGGTTGCCGAAAAAAAAATTAGATTACAAAAGAGCACTTGGTCATTGCGTGTCCACTTAATCTATAGGTCTTTGTGACGCAACTAATTAAACAACACTTGGCCAGGTAAATAATTCTAGGGACATCGTTAATCCCTTAACAAAGAACTTATCACTCATGGACTATATCAAATGGATGCTATAAAAACATTTACAACAAAATCACTCCCAAAAAATCTTGTGAAGCCCACGTTAGAAAAACTTTTTATCAGAAGAACAAAGAAACCTGAAGTTTGGCATACCCGATAAAATAAAGTTGACATGTGCAATAAATAAGATGACACTTCAGAGTAATCAGACAAAAGCTAAAATAAAATATATAAAAATTTCCGAAAACATTTTTTTTTAAGCATAAAAATCAATAAAACATTAAATTCTGTAATAATTAAATTTATTATAAAATATATTTCAAATAATGAAAAATTAACTGTTTTGAATTATTAAAAATAATTACATATTTCAGAGATAAATAAGTATATTGAAAAACTGTAAGTTTTTCTCCATGACAAAATGTATGAAATTACGACGCCAGTTAAAGGATCGGGGTTCCCTATATTTAGGACCTTTTAAAATTAGTGATCTAAGGTCCTCATTATTAACTATATTTACGTCACCAGTAATAACGTGTCCAGCAGGACTATAGTTATAGGGTGAAGAAGAACATGAACACGAATACCTGAGTATCTAATACCTGAGTATTTCCTGGACAACCTAAGTGCATGGTTATGGTGAGCAAAGGTTCTTCTTCCAAAATTGTGAAAATCATAACCCTCGGCCTGAGACAGGAGTTCTGGCGTTAGGGCGGGGCTCTATTATGACCATGCATGGGAATTTTTACTCCGCTTTAAGAGAAATTATTCCCCTTTGTTATTCATTTACAATAATTAATCACTGTAAATAATATTATTGATGGGTAAATTGAATAAAATAGAGAAATTTTTACTATTAAAACAATGTACACTGTGAATACATGTATACAAACAGAGTTTGAAAATAACTGGTAGAGCATATGTTATATCTTGTACATGTAAGAATAAATTTTTATAAGAAGTGAATTTTTTTTTGCTCATTACCTCCTTAATCTGAACAAGCACTGTGCCCCTGTAATTTTTCTTTCTTTCTTTTTTTTTTATTTTCCTCTCTTCCTCCTATCTATTTCTCCTTTCTCCTCTCTCTTCTTTATTAAAACCACTTTCACATTTAAGGCCATCTTTAAAAAAAAGTTTGGTTGTCCTCTCCCGACCGACTGCCTAAAAATGACCCGACTAAAAACTTTTTTAACCCTCAGGATACAATTATTTTTTATGTAGATTTTGAAAATTCAACATTGATGTTGAAATTTTTCTGTGGAAAAAAAATCCCACCTACATGTACCTACCGACCCAAATTTTTCAATCTGAGTCGAATCGAAGTGGCAAACAAACATTATTTTAAAGTTGGTCAAAGTGTTCGTGTATATACGTTTATATATATGTGTATACATGTACGCATGAACGCTGTACACATCTATGTACATTGGTCTATATATGTGTATAAATAAAAAATTCTATATGTGTTAATTTAATATAAAGGTGAAAGTTAAAATAAACATTGAAAAAAAAAATTCACTGACCAAGAGAGGCCGATGACGTGGGTGCTTCTGTAGCCATAACAGTCGTCGTATACTAAAGCACTGTTGTCTTGATAATGATGAGTTGCTTTTTTACCAGACCAACCATTTTGTTGATCCCCGGACATCCACTTTGCTTGCTTGCTTGTTTGTTTGTTTTGTTTGTTTTTCTTTATATATATATATATATATATATATATATATATATATATATATATATATATATATATATATATATATATATATATATATATATATATATATATATATATATATATATATATATATATATATATATATATTTTACCATTCCATGGATCACTTACAGATTGTATAATTATACTCATGCAGTTGACCGTTGAGGGCCTTAAAATTGGGCTTCCTTTTTTTTTTCTTTACCCAAGCAGTTGCCTTGGCTGTCTCAATCCGCTTAGATACCGTCACGCTGAGGAAGAATTATAGCTTGAACAGTATCCAGTCGATTTAAAATTCTTAAAAGTGCCGATTTGCATATTTTAGAAGTGCCGTTTTCACCAGGTGCCATTTTCACTTGCACCCATAAGAAATAAGAGTCCAATGGGGCTGATAAAAAAGTTGAAAATGAAAGTAATGTATGACGATGACACCTGGATTAAATTGTAAAGCTTTAAAAAAGGGCATTCTCATTAAACTTAGTATATAGGTCCCTGATTAAACCTTGAAAAACATAACATACCGGATCATTTACGGAATTGGTTCCAAAGTTACACTACTTCGTACATTTCGCGCCATCTTCAACAAAACAGCAAAACACAGAAACGTTTGATAAACTGAAGATCTATTGAAATGTGGAATCAGGGAGGTAAGATTATTAATCTTTTATTCAATGGCTATTAATATATATTTTGTGTGATATAATTAAATAAGTCGAAGCCAATTGTATTGGTCTATTTTAAAGGAAAACCCGAAATTCCTCGATATATTTAGGTATTGCATATTGATATCAGCTACTACCCAAACTCCGTCACCATAAGCGGAAAACACCCCAGGTTACTCTCTCAATTATTTTTTGATTTGTTTCTTGTTTGCTACACTTAGAAATGAACTTAAATATTGTTTTCAGAACTATTTTAAAAAAATCAGTTATTGGGCTTGTAGTTGTACAATCCGTGTACATTACATTCAGTGAACCCTAACTCCGTCACCAGGGCCCTCTACAGCCGTACAATATGACAACGAATTGATTATAAATTTTGTTCCAGTTCGGTTTTTTATCCCTTCATCTTAAACTTGTAAACATAGAAAATTAGTTTTGAAGATTTAAAGTAGTATTTTTGGAGAAGTATCAAGAACAGAAAAAATGATGTTAATATAATGTATTTTATATGTAATAACGTCACGCTACGTTATCTCCAACGTATAGTCTATTAGGGCAAATTGAGAGGAAAAATAAAACATTATTAGCCATTTTGAATATGGTATGTCTTATGAATCCTTTGTCAAAGACCTTCATAAATACGACTGACATGGAAAAATGAGCATATTGACGCACATGTCAGAGGTATCGATGGAATAGCACATAAAGGAAAAAGTGCTTACTGATTTCACATAAAATATAATAGGTACAATAGATCACGTGTAATTGTTATTTATTTTTGATGCATTCTTGAACTTGACTGTCATAATTTCTCGGCATTTGATTGAAGATTTTCAGCATGTAAAATATGACATCACAATCGCATTCGTTTACAAATAGCACCAAGTTTCCCGAAAGTGACGGAGTTAGGGTAGTGATGGATTTAACGGGTTTGGTGATATACTAAGAGTATAACAGTATGTAACAGCAATCATTCGATAACATTTTAATTTGTAAATTTCAAAAAATGACCTAAATCTTCCAACAGGTTACAGTCAAGATCAAGGACAAGGAGGATTTTCATCCCCAGGGGGATTTGGGACACCACAAGGTACACAGGGAGACAGGAAGGTAAGGATCCTTAATGTTAACTTGAAAATAGAAAAGATCAGTACAGTCAAACCTCGTTATCTCAAAATCGAAGGGACCAAGAAAATATTTTGAGATAACCAAAGATTCGAGATATCCAGGGTAAAATACTTAAGGAATAAGCAGTTGGGACTTTAAAATCAGTTCGACATATCCATGGTATTCGAGATATCCGAGTTCGAGATACAGTGCGGACTCGTTATTACGGTGACGGTTTTATAAGATAGAACGCTTATTACGTTGTAAATTCAAAGCACAAAACCATTTCTTAACAAATCTATACAAAATAGAACTGTTTATTACGATGTCCTAAAATGCCGTGACTCGGTATTACGATGTAAAAATTCTGTCCAAAAATTTTTTTCACTCCGTGTTTATTCAGTGTTGATCGACGGTAGACACTTAAGGAGACGCTAAATAAACATTGAAACACCTGTGCTCTGACTAACTTGCAGGGCCGTTAGGTGATTAGTGACGCTTGACTGCACACACCTTGACTGTGCTAGCTAGGTCAGCAGAATATTGGAGACGTGTCAAAGCCATTGTTAAACAATTAAACTGTTTATTTATAAATGTAGTCTCTGTAAAGTTTATTTTATTTTTTTAACTGTGGTTAATAAGTAAAATTAATTTATTAAATAAAAGGTTACATTTAATCGTATGCATGTATGTTAAATACGTAATGTGTAATTTCATTTGCGGGAATGGACAGCTTGGGTATCAAACATAATTTTGGCAAAATTTGAATTCCTCTAACGTTTTAACAGCTTGGATAGTGGCTTCGACAACCTTGCAGGTGTCGGCAGAAATACAAATCGATGATTGCTGAACTGCTAATTGAACTCTGTTCAGTAATTTAAAAATTCAAATTTATTTTGATATTTAGCTTGTGTGTTCTCAAATCCTGTCCATATTATGTTTACTTTGAGCTTTTTATTTAAATAAATAAATAAATAAATTTAAAAAATCTTGTTGTTGTTTATGTAGTATCGATACGAAGACTTTGAAAATTTTACGATTGCATTATCTAGACAGAAACGAAAGTAAAAGTAAAGTTTTTATTAAAAATGTGCACATTTCTTTTAAAATGAAGGAAATAGAAGAAATAGCATCATGAAGATATCTATTCAAGATAAGTTATTAATAAATTGTATGTATATAGCGTTTTAATGAAGAATTTGAACAGAAGAAGGAAACAAAAGGAGAAAAATACACCTCCTAATACAACAACACGCTTTCAAAACGATGTTTTTCTAGATTTTATTGGAAACTTTTATTACGTTGCCCTTGGTATTACGATATTTAACCGTGACAAAATGAACATCGTAATAACGAGTCTGCACTGTACCGAAGTTCAACTGTATATGATTAATTTTTCCACAAAGACTTCTTCATTGAGAAGTAGATCACTAGATGAGAAGGAAAACTGAATAAATGTGATGAGCATCACTGCTTTTATTGTTCAACACCCAAACTCAATAAATTGGTGCAATTCAAGATATTTTTTCTTCAAAAATCGACTTTTGATTATCCATCTGCTAATAACATTTTCGGATAGATCAACATATCAAGTTTGTATTCCCAAAGATTTTTCAAGTTAAGTTCATTGGTTAAGAAATTACGTCAATTTGAAATAAAGGTGTATAGTTGATCATTATTTGCTGAGAAACAAGCGTTACGTATCATATTATAGTTTTCCTTTAAGATTTTAGGATGAAATAATATAGATTGTAAGAAATCCTCAATGTCAAAAGCAAATCAGTCTGTTTACTTTCGTGATAAGACAAAAAAGGTCAACTGTCATAATGTATTTTATGAATTGATGCAGTCGAATTGTCGTATTATATTTTTTTCTTCAAATAATTTTGACATATCTCTAAAATTTTATATTTCAAATATGCCTCAAGAAAAATCAAAACTGCCCAGCGCAAATGAGGGTTCTAAATGAATAGAGGATCCATTTATAGAAACGTTAAATAAAATGTTGTTCATGAATTGTGATCTTTTTCTTATTTACACTTTCAAATGCAACAACGTTCGTATGTAACGAATGTTTCATGAGAAGTAATATTTACTGTTTTTAAGATTAATTCCAACAAAATGGACCAATCCATGAGATGTAATTTCTGCTCTACTTGTGCCATGGTATTGAAAATGTCAAAAGAAATAATTTGAACTGCATCATATATATCATCGTGTCATATTTTCCTTGAACTGTACTATATGTACAAACGGATAAGAGATATATGTAAAATTGTCTGTATAGACGTTTTAACAGAACCTAAAATAATGTAAATAACAATTTTTCTGATGACTTTTAGCTTGAAATCATTTAACCATCAATGGAAACTTCCTTCGTATTTCTGCTTGGGTCAATGCCATAGTTCAACTAAAATAAAATGCTGAAACGTACGTTACTTAACATAAAATGCGAGTTTAACAGCATCAAAATTATAAGAGAGAAACAAAAAACCCTGATATAGATTCAGAATAGAAACTCAAGCCTTTGTTTAATCAATATCATATGATTCAATCTAAAAAATGTTTTTCAAAATAATTTAATGTTTTTCTTCAGAATTAATGTGTGTGTTCAATAATGCGTTTCTAGAATCAGTTTCTATTAAAATTTATGCAATTTAAGCATAAAATGATACAAATCAATCAATAAAGTTTACATTCGAACAATTAGTCATGAAAGAAATTCTGTAAATATTGTTGCAATTTTGATATATAATTTGTTAAAAAGTTCGTAACATTCGTTACCTTCGGTAACGAATGTTTCAACACCTTTCAAGACTAATAGAGGACATTCAGGTGTAGATTGATACTGGTTGCGTAGTTGTTGTCGGTCGTTATATAAATATTAACAGTTACATACTAATTCATTCCATTTGATTCATTGTTATTGCATTCTAGAAAACAAACTCACCAACACTGTCTAGACTTTAGAAAAAAAAAATCATAAAAAGGCAGTACCATACTCCGGATGTCAAAATTTGAATACTGGCGCAAAATATTTGACTACGTATATTTGCAGAAGATGTTTGAACTCATAAATCATTCTTTTTTAAGAGGTTTGGTAACGAATGTTTCGGTAACGGTTGTTTCATTTAATCATTTTCTCTTAAATAGAAAGCTAACAATAAGACATAGTTAAATCATTGTTGGAGCATGGAATACAGTTGTTGGATAGAAGAAAAAGTATCACATGTTTAACCATGATATCATTCTATTTCATCTATTAAACTAATACAACGAATGTTTCATGCCTATCCATATGCATGTAAAATAGGAAGATAGAATGTAATTTCGAAGTATTGGTAACATATACAAGGCTTTGTACCATTTATTTTTTATTTTCAAGAAGTTTCCTTCAAAATAAAACGTATTCCAATCTTACAGGCATACAATACTGAATACTCACGCTATATTTAATGTCACAGTCCGTTTTTATTAGCTCACCTCGACGAAGCCCTACCTGGACCAAACTTGCATGGATGATGCATCTAGGGATGGACACTACCAAACTTGCTTCGGATGCTGGATCTGACCTAGATTTTCCAGATGAGTGACCAGGTTAAAGTTTTAGGAACAGGTCCATTCCTTAGTAACTATAAGCCCTACCTGGATCAAACTTGCATTGATGATGCATCTAGGGATGGACACTACCACACTTGCTTCGGATGCTGGATCTGACCTAGATTATCCGGATGAGTGACCAGGTTAAAGTTTCAGGAGCAGGTCCATTCCCAAGTAACTATAAGCCCTACCTTGACCAAACTTGCATGGATGATGCATCTAGGGATGGACACTACCAAACTTGCTTCGGATGCTGGATCTGACCTAGATTTTCCAGATGAGTGACCAGGTTAAAGTTTTAGGAGCAGGTCCATTCCCAAGTAACTATAAGCCCTACCTTGACCAAACTTGCATGGATGATGCATCTAGGGATGGACATGGCCACACTTACTTCGGATGCTGGATATGACCTAGATTTTCCAGATGAGTGACCAGGTTAAAGTTTTAGGAGCAGGTCCATTCCCAAGTAACTATAAGCCCTACCTTGACCAAACTTGCATGGATGATGCATCTAGGGATGAACACTACCAAACTTGCTTCGGATGCTGGATCTGACCTATATTTTCCAGATGAGTGACCAGGTTAAAGTTTTAGGAGCAGGTCCATTCCCAAGTTACTATAAACCCTACCCGGACCAAACTTGCATGGATGATGCATCCAGGGATGGACACTACCACACTTGTTCAGATGCTGGATCTGATCTAGATTTTCCACATGTGAGACCAGGTTTAGATTTAGGAGTAGTCTCATTCCCAAGTAACTATAAGCCCTACCTGGACCAACCTTTCATGGATGATGCATCTAGGGATGTACACTAACCAACCTGCTTCGAATGCTGGATCTGACCTAGATTTTCCACATGAGTGAATTTTAGCCATATTTTAACCAAATTAGCATGGATGATGTATCTAGGGATGGACACTTCCAGACTTGCCTTGGATTCTGAATCTGATGTACATTTTCCAGAAGAGTGACCAGGGTAATTTTTTTGGAGTAGCTATATAAAATTATGGCCTGTTATGATTAAACTTGCATAGATGGTGCATCTAAGGATGAAAACTTCCAGACTTGCTTTGGATGTTGGAACTGACCAAAATTTTCTTGATTACTAAACAGGTCAAAAGTTTTTTGAGCAGGTCTATAATTAAATCAAACTTGCATGGATATTGATCTTGGGATGTACCCTAACTAGAAAAAAAATATGATGTGAAATTTGCCTTACATGTAGATAACATTCGTCGAGGTGAGCTTCGTAATCTTTGATTACCTATGTTTTTGTTTCTGGCGACATGAGGATATCAAATCAAAGTTCGGTAATATATTTGTGATTATGCTCAATAATTTATTAAAAGCATTTTACAAATAAATGTTTTGAAGACATATGCTATCTAATTTAAGATTCAACTGTTATTTGTACAAAAAATAGCCATTTAAGTGTAATTATTCGATGTTGGCGACAGTAATGTACTTTTCAAAAAATCACTATATGCCAAATAAAATATCTCAATATGATTTGTTCACTTCATTTTTGTACTTTTGCCTTAAAGGTTACATATTCATGCATTCATTCAAAAAGTATTTTCTTTGACATTTCATTATTTTTTTACGCTTAACCCCCAGCGACATCATTTGCACCATTTTATTGAGCTTGAGTGTTAAACTTTGCAAGAAAGTTAACGTCCTTTTTGTACAATTATGCACATTGAAGTGGTAAAATTTTTCTTTGAATGAAAAAATTTGTTGTTTTTTTTTTTTATCAAACATCAATTGTTACATAATGACTCATCCATTTCTTTAGGAATGGGAAAGCAATATTCATCACATTGTTTTATGACACCCCACTCTCTGAGACTAGGAATGCGAGTCATGCTGAAATGGGGATATTATAAAGCTGGGAGAGAGAGCAAGAGCTTATCTGCTTCTGTAAATTGCATATTGCAACAAATATGTACATAATAACATGTATACATTTGTCATGATTATCTAAGTTATCACAACACATGTATCGATTGAACAGGTTTGTACCCAGTGTTTATGTAGACTGCCAGTATGATTAGCTATGGTATTTATAGAATTACTTTTCTACAGGAATTTGAATGAAGCATGTGAGAAAATTTTCTTTCTGAAGAAATGGGTCTGTCATTATGTAACAACCAACATTTAAAGCATTTCATTCAAACAGAAAATTTTACCTCTTCAATGTGCATCATTGTATATGCAGTATCTTGTATGCTGAATTGTATCTTGTATGGATTACATTGCAGAATGATGATGGTATAGAGTGTGCCTTATTTCAATATATTGTTTATTGCCTTGTTGGCATGATATGCTATGTATATTAACTTAATTATATTTGCTTCTTTTGTTAAAAAAATATGACTTGAAAATTACCCTTCAAAGATATTCTATATATTTTGGGGTTTTGATGCTTTTTCAGAGTCGTAACAGAGCACAGAACATACTCCCTTGCACAACTGCTGAAATTCTCAGTGCATCACAGAATGATGATAAATTTTACTCTGGAGACATTGAATTAGCTCAGGTATAAGGAGGTCAAATGATCTTAAGACAACAATAAAAATTTACTTGTTTAATACATTTAAGGACCCTCTATACACCAATGAAAAATGTTTTGGGGTTCTGAGAAAATTGTATCATATAAAGATACAAATATGTAGTTTATCTATTCAATTTTAAACATAGGGTACCTGCCATTCACCCTCGGGAAAAATATGAAGAGAATTAAGTGGTGGTCGGGACTGACAAATAGAATTTTTAGGCACTTGTCCAAAGGCAAGTGCATGGTCAGAATTCACTTGCCCTACCTGAATTTTTGCCTGCCTCACCATAAACTAATACTGTATATGTATATTTCAAAAATATAGGAAGAAAAATACTGAGTAGTTCATGCGATGCCTGTGCCCAGCTTTAAATCTATGACTAAATATAAATTTTTTTTTTTTTAAAGATACTTGCCCATGGGCAAGTGGTTGATAAAATTTCACTTGCCTACCCCTAAAATTCACTAGCCCCGGGTGTCGGGCAGTGGGATTTGTCAGCCCCAGGTGGTGAACTGATATCACTGTTGCTTACTTAAATGGGAAAAATGCATAAAAATAAAGTTTTCAATCCAATGAAATGTTTAGAATGCTTGAATTGATTCCAAATTGAATAATAAACTTAAGATTTCAATTTATTTTATTTTATACCCAAGGGCAGATCACTCTTACTTCATAAAAATACCATGGAAATTTTAAATTTTATTGTCAGTAATAAATTAATAATATCAAAACAACTGTTTAAAATATGTTGTAATGATTTATTTAATACTAGCAGAGGCCTTCTATACTTTGATTTTTTGAACTATACATGTACATATATCTATAGTAATTAACATTAGTGCCACTCATTTTCATGCTTGTATGTTATTTTGTTGTATCATTTGCATTCATATACCCCAGTTGGGGTCTGTGTCTTAAATAAAAACTTGAAACTTGAAACTTGGAATTAATAGAACTCTTGAACTCTGCAGTGTATAGAGGGTTCTTGATAAGTTTTTCAGTTGGTTGAAATATACAGACTTATTCTTAACGGAGGATTTAGGTTAATCTCCTTCAAAAGGTAAAAGCTATATGTCTGCTTTCAGATAACCATTGTTGGGTTAATTATTGCTGTGAAAGAGTCACCAACAAGAATAGATTATGAGGTGGATGATATGACTGGACCACCACTGGAAGTAAAACAGTTTGTTGATAATGATGTAAGTAGAAATATATTTACGTCCTTGACCCTTTCCCAAAAAGGATGTTTTACCCTAAAGTCATCTTGTTCTTCTCTTACCATCACATTTGGGCTAATATTTGGATTGCATCTAAGAGATGGATATTGGGGGGTGGGGGGGGGGGGTACATATGGGCCACCTGATACTGAATGTGTTACAGTCCAAGAATAAAATCTGAGGGGCACAGTATTTTTACAGAAAAAGAACTTCACTAAAATTAAAATAAAATTTTTTAAAATAATTTGTTGTAGTCTAATATATCCTTAGATTTTGACTATTTAACTTTAAATCCCGATATAATTCCAGTCTTAATTTATTGTTAAAGAAAGCACTGAGTATGATGACATGAATTAAATTAAAAAAAAATCAGAAAATCAGGAAACCTGGCTTAGATTTCATTATTTTTGTAGGAAAGTGTACCTGACACAGAGAGAATTGCGGCCTTGAGAGAGAATACTTATGTTAGGGTTTATGGAACAGTACGATCCTTTGGAGGGAAAAGGAATGTAACTGCTTTCAAGATGGTACCAGTCATGGATATGAATGAGGTTACTTACCACATGCTAGAAGTCACCCACAGTCATCTGGCACTGTCCAAACAAATGGCTAATGTAAGTTTTGTATGCAGATAAATATAGACAGAAAACTTGCAAGAATATTTAGGCAGACTAACCATCTATTTTGATAGATATTTCAGATGAAAAGTTAGTATATTTATAGAGGATATTCAATGTTTTGTAGATGAATATGGAATTTATTTCACGAGTGGGACAGGATTTTTTTGATATTTTCACGAGTGCGAATCACTCATGAAAATATCAAAAAATCCTGTCCCACTCGTGAAATAAATTCCATATTCATCTACAAAACATTGAATTTTCTATTTATTACATTTTCTTTGATTTTCCCTTTGCCTCTGTCTTTTCTTTACACAGTGTCATAGGCTTGACGTCATAGTTGAGAGGTTGAGACATCATAGCTTAGCAGTTGTGTGATTGAAAACATTACATAGCATGAATTTTAGCAACATATTTGGGAAGAAATTTGCAGTTTTAGCTCAAATCAAGATGCTTAGTTACTATCTCTATCTTATGACAGGCCAGAAATTATATTTTACTTACTCTAATTGATATCCTTTCACACTGTGAGAGAATATCATTTTGGTATCCTTTCACACTGTGAGAGAATATCACTTTTATTCAATAAATAAATCACAGTATTTCACTGTTGAAAATGTAATAAATGTACTTACTTTATGCTAAATTTTGAAAGCTCAGAAATCAGTAGTCCAGGGTATATTTTCTCTACACTTGGCCAAACCTGGCTCTTGCTTTTTCCACAGAGTGCCCATGGGTAAAAGGATACATATTGAGTGACCTTGATCAAGTTTTTAAACAGGTCAGTTTCAAACAGATCTTTAAGTCAATCCTGTCAGGAGCATGTTTTCTTTTCCTTGGACTATTTTGGCTAATATGTCTCATAAATAGTACAATACGGAAAAGGATGTGCAATGACCTTGAACAAAATATCTGGGTCAAAGACCAAGGTTAAAGCAGATTTTTAAGTAAAATCCTATTCTGGAGTATTTATTTTCTGTCTTTGAACTGGCTCATATTGGCATGTTTTAAGTCTGACGTCATTATTCAAAGCTGCCAGGAAAACAGGTCTTTGGGTAAAATCCTTGTCCACAGCGTAATTTCTCTCCACTTGGTCCAAATGTCCAGATAAAGGATGGACAGTGACCATTAGCTTCTAGGCCAGTGGTGAGGGTCAAAGCTGATTTTGTCTTAAGTATATATTTTTCTCTTTTTGGACCAGTATGGTCCACACACTCGCAATCACAGGGAACCTTGTTGAAGGATTTGCATTGTTTGAACCAAGGTCAGACTTGTTGAAATCAATTGGTCCTGTCGGCAAGGCTGATAAAATTTGTCTGGACCGATAACTTTCAAGAAAATGTAGGTCCAAATGACCGTTTGAAAAAATCGAGAGTGAAGCAAATTTTAAAAAGATCGGGGTGCGCAGGTGAAGGTCACAAAAACAGCAGAAATGGTTATGTGGTGATGATGGTTAATTAAATTTGTTACAGCAAATACATGAAACATGTCATTTATGTCTCTGATTAAAGACTCTCTATCCTAAGAAAAGAAACTTGTGAGATTGGAGGCTGTTGAAAATAATAAAGGGCATTTTGGTGCATTTATTTATTTTCCTTTCTCAGCGTCAAAAAAAGTACATGTATCTGGTCTGACAAAACTTAGTCCAGTCCGACAGAACATTTGACTTTGTCAGACCAAATGTCTGACAGTGATTTCAAAATTTTGACAAGTCTGCAAGGTCAATATCACAACTGTTACAGGTTTTTATACGCCCGTCTTTAGATGAGACGTATTATGTTATGGCGTTCATGTCCGTCCGTCTGTCTGTCTGTTAGCTTTTCTCGTGTCCGGCTCATAACTTTAATACTATTAGGCCTAGGATTATCAAACTTTGTCAGCTGATACTTCTTGGGTAGAAGGTGTGTCGCGCACTAAAAGTAGGTCGTTCTGACCTTTAATTAAGATGCTATGACCTAATATGGAAAAATCCTGTCTGGCTCATAACTAGAAAACTATTAGACTTAGAATCATCAAACTTGGCCAGTTTATGCATCTTAGGTAGAAGGTGTGTCGCGACCTATTTCAAGGTCACTGTGACCTTTAATTTAAGTGAAATTTAAAAAGAAAACTGTCTTTTTACTATTAAATTACACAATCCCAAAAAATGTAAAAGTGTTGCAGTATCCTTATTAAAAAAATGTTAAAATCAAGAAATACTTATTTTTTTCATTATATACTTTACAGCAATCTATAACAAATATAATGTTACAAGAGAAATTCCACCTCTCCCATGGGTGTAATTATCAAGCACTGGTCAAGGAGAATTTTGATAACAGAAAATTGCATGTCAAATTAGAGAGAAATTAATGAGTTTAGTGTGAGGAGCTAACTGGTAGAGCATCTCTGATCAAGCAGGTGTTATCTATATCTCTTGGGAATTGGGCAGAGGAATCAGCCATGTTGGATTAAATAGTTTTTGTGGGCTAGCCTAACTTTCAAAATGAATTTAGTGAAAAGTAATTAAAACTAATTTGATATTGTATAATAAACTCATTTGATATCGTATCATAAACTAATTAATTAAAACTAATTATAATGGGGTGGGGGGGGGGTATGATATTGGAATTTGAATTAGCATTCCCATTGTCCATATGAATTGCAGCTTAAAACCACTCTGACATTGAATCTAAATAAAAAAAAAAACAACGAGTATTTACATGTAAAAAAAAAGTTTTAATTATGGTAGATAGTCCCTACAAATCTAAGAGTCAAGCAGAAACCTTATTAAAAATGTTGCATCAAGATTACAATTTTTTTTTCTTTTTAAAATCTTTGTAACAAATTGAAAAAAAAAATCTTCATTTTCAAATTTAAATTCAGAATGACATAAATATGCATTTTAATTGCAATACAAAGCAGATCCATTCATCCCTTGGGAGTAATGAGTGGACATGCATCCAGTTAAAGATTAATTAATGAGTTCAGTGTAGGAAGGCTAGCTGTCTCAATCATTTCAGTTAGAGGATCTCTGATCAAGCAGCTCTTATCTGTATCCTTTGGGAATTAGAAAGAAGAACTGCTGGTCAGTTTATAGCATATGTCATTTGATGGCTAGTCTTTTATTTTAAAATTAAATTGGTATAGATTAAGTTGTTAAGACTAAATTGATATTGTTTAATATGAAATTCTTATTTAATATTTTGAAAATATCAACTAGTAAATTTCAGAGCATCATGTCTCACAAATATGAAAGATGGGGGGGGGGGGGGGGGGGGGGGCTGCAGATGGGCATTTGTCAAGCTCTGACACTACCAGTTGAGGATCTATAATGTAATATTTGTTATAATGCCTACACCACAGGAAATGTATAAACAAAAATTATAAGAAATGGAAAAATTTTGGAAATCCTTGTATCAAGGTTGACTTGATTTTCTTGCACTCTAAACTGTCTGTGATAATTGAACAATATTTGACGGGCGTATCATGCTGTGGCGTGGCACTTTATTGATAAAGTCATTAAGGATCTTCTCTTTTGTAAACCCAGTGCCATTTGCATTATCACTCATTTTCATTTGAAAAATACAAGCAGAGTGACCTTAATTGCATCTCTGAAATTAATTTTCAGATGTATATTTCCTCACCTCAAAATGAGACCTTTTGTGGCGAGCACTATCTCATTAATAACAAATTTGCTAAAATTTCACTTTTATCTGAATTTCCTGGTAGGAAACTTGTAAGAAGAATACCATTCTCACTCAAGTGGCTATTTTAGAATAGATACATATTCAAATAACTATTGATTGCATATACATATGTATATGTATATGTAGATATTGTATTAGTATTTTATTTGAATATAGATATTGTATTAGTACTGTATGGTATTTGAATATAGGTATTTTACTAGTATGGTATTTGTGATGGCATATAGATATTTTATTAGTATAGTATTATTGATTGCATATTGATATTGTATCAGTATGGTATTTTTGATTGCGTATAGATATTGTATTAGGATGATGTTTTTAATTGTGTATTGATGTTGTATTAGTATGGAAATTTTGATTGCATATAGAAATTGCATTTATAATGGTATATTTGATTGCGTTTAGATATTTTATTTGTATGGTATTTCATAGGGCATGTCCTCAGGAGCTCCCATGAACAAAACCACAACAGGAGATATCTACCAGAACCAGGACAGTGGTATGGTCAGTGGATTGAACCAGGTCCAAAACCAGGTAAGTGGTAAATTCTGCTAAAACAGTAAAAAGCAGATGTATGTACATGTAGTAAATGTTGAACCAGGATCAAAAACAAGGGTTGAGTCAAACAGGGATTTATCAGTACCTTTTTAGGGGTTAAAATTCGGCCCCATTCCCAGCAGTAAATACAGCTAATGCTAATATTTTCCACATTTTTTTTGGGGGGGGGGGGGATCCCAAAATAGAATAGTGAATAAATAAATATACTTGTTAGAATTAAATCATGGAGTTCAAGAGCAACTGAGGCAAAATAGTCTCTTCACACATGGTTTAAAACTTCACCAGCTTCTCAAGATAGAGAGAAAAAGATACAGCTGTAGGTTTAAATTACGTTCCGTCTTTTAAATTAAATTTATAAATTTTTATTATCATCTTAGTTAATTAGAAAGAAAATGTATTTTCTTTTAAAGCCATTTTCATCAGCATGAGATCGTATCTTTGAGATTATTATTATTATATATATTAGTGATGCAACTCTGCTATATAATGCTTTATAATAGGCACAGTGGATTCAGTAATTAAAGTATCATTCTATTTAAAACACCTGTTCTTATAAAAACAATTACAGTTATCATTCAAGTTGTCAGAAAGCAAACTATTTATGGATATAAATCGATTGGGTGAGACTAATTACTTCTAACCCACTAAAAGCTACCCCAACTTTTTTTCGCTCCATCTTTTTCCCCTATAAATTCAAATAATTAAGAAAGCATTTTCAATTATTTGTATGAATTTGTTTTAATTATGAAGTGATAATTTATGTCACTTCAAATTAATTTTTCATATGAAAATTTGTTCACCAAACATAAGATTTTAAAATCAATCATGACTATAATAAATATATAATACATGTAACATGATAAATGCTCACACATTTATCTTATAACATGGAAAAATCATTTAATATTATGCACTTGGATTTTTTTCTAGCTAGATCTCAAATGGAATTTTATTACAAAATATAATTTTATCTTGGTGGGCATACAAAGGGTTTTAAAAGTAGGGGAAAAAAAGGAGGTGTGGACTTGTTAACTTTTGGAGCTTTAAGTCTTCCCTATACTTCCTTTATCCCCCAATTTTATAAAATTGTTGAAAATGGCATTTCCCAAAATAGCCTGAAAAATCTATGTCAAAATTAGACACAGTAAAAGAAGCAAGTTTCTATCTGGCTGATTTGAACAACAGAAGAATTGCATCATGGGGAGTGAATGTGTAGTTTTTTGCACAGAGGACCAACTTTTATATATTACTAATTATTTATGACAGCCTTTAGCCATTATGTTTGGGTGTTTGGAGATACATGTGCTTAGAACCCTTTTGCCAATACTGCTTTAGATTACCTCCATCTATGCGAAAGACATCAGACTGTTTGACCTGACTGATGTACAGTGCCTCAGGTCCGATGCATCTTTTTTTTTACACCAGACCCGAGTGTCTGTTGTCTCAGTGTCCCCTTTTGGGTTGTACTATTTTGCGTTGATGCGGAGTCATAAAAACCTTCGTTTTAAGAAAATATATTGCACACATCCAAGTACGTAAATGAGTGTGATGAAAACCACATGAACTGTAATATTTCCTTGGTTCTGCATTTTCACATGTTTTACTTTCTTACATTAGGTTTTTTCGGTCTGACAAAATTTGGTTCAGTCCTGTGTGTTCCTCCAGGACACACTCGTCACAGGACCGAATGTCTTGTGTGACCCAAAAAACTTTTGCCTAGACTGTTCTCTGTCCTTTTCTACTTCTGCTAAAGCATAGGACTTTGTTTCTGGGTATGGACTTTCCATTTTCATTTAACACCAAGTTCAGATAATGTGACTGTAAAACCAGGGTTTCAGCTATCTTCCTCAGCTCTAAAAGCTAGAGTTACTTTATGGTGCTTGTAATTTCTACTTCGTGCATGATTATATAGATATCTGAACATTCAGAATTATTCTCAAAATTGTTTGTGATACTTTTTATTATAGGTCCACTCCATCATTCAGAGCAATGTGACAGAGGCAGGTGCCAGTATTGAAAATGTGTGTAAGCAGTTAAGAGGTGTGCCAGAGAGATCTGTTAGGTCAGTAGTGTTTACATTTTATGCAGAATTAATTCTGAAAATGCCTGAAGTTATGGCCATTTTTTCCTGCCCAAATATTTTTGATGTTTATGTAAATGTGCATTTTAGGGAAATTTCTGAGCACTACATTATATGTAAGGCACTGAGTATTTTGCATGTTTGAAAAATTTTCTGAGGTTCAGCCAGGTAACACATTTTATTTCACTGTTGATTCTATTGCAGAGAAGCGATAGAATTCTTGAGTAGTGAAGGTCACATTTACTCCACGATAGATGAAGACCATTACAAGGCAACAGACAGTTGAACTAGAAAATTTCATTAGAGGGTCATAGAAACTGGAAACATTTTGTCTATAATCCAGACAAGCTCTCTGGATTCTTGTTCACAGGCTGTGTACCATTAGCTCTGTAAGAAATATTTAGAACCATTTTATTGTAAAAAAAAAAAATTGAAGGTACATGTATGCTGATATTTAGTTCATTTACTAAATACCTGATATAGTTAAAAGCAAACCATCTCAAAACAAGATCTCTGAAATGTTATGATGATTTGCTGGAGCTACCTTTGTTTGAAGAGATCTTGATGTACATTTTTTGTTTTCTGTATCAGAATAAAACTATCTAAATACCAGACATTTTCTGCTCATTACTGCTCACTTCAGTATAAACTGAATGTTTGGAGAGTGATGCATAAATTATAAATTAGTTGATATGATGTGATCTATCACTATTATAGTGAGATTCTGCTATATTTTCAGCCATATCTATCCTTGATTTCATCAAATAACAATGCATCATTGTAAAACACCTTTTTAAGAAATATTTAACGAAAAGTAAAGTATTTAAAATGTAACTGAAAAGTAATTGAAAAATACATGACATTTTTGGAACGTATTTAAATACATTAAATAACTTGTAATTGAAAGCAAGCTCAATTACAAATACTTTGAAAAAATGTATTTAAATAGAGTAAATTACAATTACTTTTTTCAATTACCTAATCCCTGACTATGGTATTTTACAAAAGCCTAAGTGCCAAGCAATATATGTGCGAAATAAAAAATCCATACCTCTTACAGTTCTCAAGGTATAGGGTGTAACAGATGGACGAACAGACAAACATATACACAGACGCAGGGTAAGGTTTCGTTCTGCTCTGCAGGCGACGCAAAAATAATGTTTTAAGGAGGGATTCTTTCTGGTTTGTGACTAAATGAAATATTCAAAATGTATTTGCCAACAAGTTGTATATATTTAGATGTAAAAGATTATATTTTTTTTCCTTCTTATAATTGTACAACTTTGAATACAAATGATAGGCTAAGTTTGATATCTAGCAGGGACTATATTTCTTGCAGAATAGGGTCTTATGAAAAAGTTTCCTTTTCTACATCTTAAAATTACTACAAAACATTGAATTTGGTTAATTTTTAACAATTAAAGATTAAATGAAATTTTCTGAAGTGACTAAAGTTAATTACTATGGACTAAAGTTTTGAAATATATAAAATAAATTCAATTTTCCAAACAAATCACAGTCTTATTAGCTTTTGAAAGCATCCAATCTAAGAACAGATTTGAGCAAAAAATCAATAAAACTTGTTTTTTCTCTCTTACTAAATGGTCAAAACTTTTTGTTTTTGTATCAGTTTTTATCTTTATGTGACTACTTTGCCGTATATGTAAATAAAAAAAAATTAACTATATGAAGTATATTAAAATAGCTAACATTCCCTAAAAAATTTGAATTAAAATGGAGGAAATTCAGATTAGCCAATATCTATTTTTAAAAGTTATATATTTTTTTAATCTTAATTTGGTAGTATCATCTGATAGACTTTATATGGTGAGATCTTTTCATGCAGAAAGAAAAACATTTTATCGTAAAATATATGGAGGCATCAGATGATTGGCAATAGTATTTTTTTTATTCTTGATGTCAAGGAAAAAGATGATGACCTTGACCTGTCCTTGCACCTAAAATAAAACGGTCAAATGTACTCTCATTGATACCATCACTTAGTGATTTCATCATCTTAAATCTGTTAAATTCTCATAAATTTTTAAATACAATAAATATGAGAAGAATCCCTTCCTAAGGGAGTTAATCCCTCTAAATGTATGAGTAATGCAGTAACCTCTCAAAAAAAATTGCTTAAAAAAATACCCATATTTAGGTCACCTGAGTCACTCAGGTGACCTATTCTATCTGTTTTCGTCTGTCGTGCTGGTGTGCATAGCACATAAACTTTTCACATTTTCAACTTCTTCTCAAGAATCATTGGGCCAATTTCAACCAAACTTGCCACAAAGTATCCTTGGATGAAGGAGATTTAAGTTTGTTCAAATGAAGGACCAAGGGGAGATAATTAAGAATTAGTAAAAAATTAATGGCATCTTTTAAAAATTTTCTTCTCAAGAACTGCTGGAAAAGGAAATATGAAACTCATATGGAAACATCTTCAGGTAGTGAAGACTCAATTTTGTTAAAACCATAACCCCCAGGGGTAGGGTGGGGCCACAATGGACAATCAAAGTTTTACATTGGAATACATACATGTAGGAAAAATCTTTAAAAATCTTCTTCTCCAGATTTACTGGGCCAAGAAAGATGAAACTTAAGTGGAAATATCCTCAGGTAGTGTAGATTCAAGTTCGTCCAAATCATGACCCACGGGGATAGGGTGGGGCCACAATGGATGATCAAAGTTTTACATGGGAATACATTGTAAAAATCTTATTCACCAGAACCACTGGGCCAAGAAATATGAAACTTGTGTGGAAATATCCTCAGGTAGTGTAGATTCAAGTTTGTTCAAATCATGACCCACGGGGTTAGGGTGGGGCGACAATGGATGATCAAAGTTTTACATGGGAATACATTGTAAAAATCTTATTCACCAGAACCACTGGGCCGAGAAAGATGAAACTTGTGTGGAAGTATCCTCAGGTAGTGTAGATTCAAGTTTGTTCAAATCATGACCCCTGGGGGTAGGGTGGGGCCACAATGGACAATGAAAGTTTTACACTGGAATGCATAGGGATAATATTGAAAAAAATTCTTTTCTGAAGAACAGCAAAGCCACGATTGGTTATATTTACATGGAAGCATACTCAGATAGTATAGATTCTAGTTTGTTCAAATCATGACTTTGGGTGTAGGGTGGGGCCGCAATGGTCGATCAAAGTTTTACATGGGAATACATAGGAAAAATTTTCTTCACCAGAACAACTGGGCCAAGAAGTATAAAACTTATGTGGAAACATCTTCAGATAGTGTAGATTCAAATTTGTTCAAATCATGATCCCCAGGGGTAGGGTGGGGCCACAATGGACAATGAAACTTTTACTTGGAATACATTGGGAAATCTTGAAAAAAATCTTTTCTCAAGAACAGCACAGCCATGATTAGTTATATTTACATGGAAGCATCCTCAGTATAGATTCAAGTCTGTTCAAATAATGACTCTGGGGGTAGGGTGGGACCTCAATGGATGATCAAAGATTTATATATAAATACATAGGAAAAATCTTGAACAAACTTCTCAAGAATAGCAAAACCATGATTTGTCTTATTTATATGGAAGCATCCTTGGGTTATGTTAATTCAAATTTGGTCAAATCATGACCCCCTGGAGTAGGGAGCAGATACAACAGGTGATCAAAGTTTTAGTTAGGAATATATAGGAGAGATCATTTAAAAATCTTCTTCTTAAGAACAACAAAGCCATGATTAGTCATTTCAATACAGAAATATCTTCAGGTACTGGAGATCACTAAATTTTTGCGACACCTTATTTTCGCGAGATAGTCATTGACTCTTTATTAGTGAGACAGAATATTCACGAATTGTGGTTATTGTTCTATATAATCTTTAGTAATACTAATATACACGAGAATGAAATTTTCTTCTATCTATGCATTGTTGTTTTATACTCATGTGACTGTTAAGGCCCTAGGGCTTCTTGTTCTTGAATGTGTTTAAAAACAATTCTCTTGCTTCTTACAATAATGACGTAAATATGCAATAATGTACACATGCCTTGCAAGTGTGCTAAGACTTCATTTAAAGCTAAAAAGAAAAATTAAATTACTCCCCTTTACACATATAGTTTCTAAAAAATACGCAATAAATTTCTTGTTATAAGATTATGTAACCAATAAGCTTAATAAATATATACCATGTTAAATAACTATTTAAAGAATAGAAAATGAAATAGTCCATACGATTGTATAATCTATAAAAATTGTCAGTCTTTCTCATTACAGACTATGTATCTAATATCGTTTCAGTTGTAAAACTTAACCCCTTATATATTACAAATCATAAGAAAAATCAATTCGAAATCAGTAGAGTCAGTTTTATGAATACTGAATTATATTTACAAGAAATATCATCTTTTTAGTTTATACAACTATTGTTGTTTTTTTGAGGTCGATGTGATGATTTATTTACCCCCGGAGTAAAATATTCATTGAACCTAGAGACAACAGGATGAGGTAAATAAGGTACTTCAAAGGTTGCTAAATCATTGTATTAACCGAAAAATCAATAATTGTTTTATTATTTGATTCAATGATTAAAAAGGACCATCTCATTGAAGCAAAACCTCACCATCATTCTTGGTTAATTTCTAACCAATTGCACAGAGAGAGAGAGAGAGAGACCCGGGATTTCATTAGGCGAAATTAAATGAATAATAATAAGCATGATCAATTTGATCACAGTTCAAGTTCCAAATTTGTCTTTGGATCAGGGTTTTCTTAATAAAGAAGGTTCAGAATAAGTCCGGAAGTTCTGATCAATTGAGGAAAATGGCTATACATATATAACCAATCTTCATTTGTATGTGATTCTAAAACGAAGTAGCATGCCTACATTTCTCTATAGTGTTTTTTTTTCATGTTAAGACTACTCTTCCAATGAAAATTATAAGGAGCGTGGGGGATGGTGATTTACTATAAGGAACTGGGGAGTTTCATTATGACACCGGAAAGGCAATCTGATCAAATTAAAAAGATAAAACTTTTAACTTCGCATGGCCAATATGTTTCTGTTCAAGTTTGATACTTTTTAATTTAATTTAGTGGATCTGATCGAAAGTGGTAATAAATCCTAGTTAAACGTAAATTAGCCACCCGAATCTATTCTCAAATTATCACTCAGTAGTAACATAAAATGACCGAGTCACTGGAAGGTCACTGGAGCATCCAAGATCGATATGCGGATCTAGAATTTATTTCATCTGTATATAGAGGATATTCAATGTTTTGTAGTTGGATATGGAATTTATTTCACGAGTGGGACAGGATCTTTTTTTAGATATTTTCACGAGTGCAAAGCACCTGTCCCATGGTAATCACTGGATTTAAACATATGTGGAGTAATATTGGCAGTTTTAGTCTCTGTCAGAATGGTTTATTTACCCTCCCTATGCTATAACAGTCCAGGGAGTATTTATACAACATTCATCGCGAGGGAAGGAAAATCTCCAATTTTGCTGCATTTCTGTCACAGAATCTGCGACAGAACATTATTTTGATATTCTTTCACAGTGTGACCGAATATCATTTTTATTCAGTAAATAAATCACAGTATTTCACTGATGAAAATGTAATAAAAATTACAGTAT